CAGTGAGGTCTCGGACAACTCTTTCAGACCCCTCAAATGAAGGAAATAGTATAAAGCTATTATTGCTTATCTTACTACAGAAAGAGTTAACTGTAACCATCTGTTTACCTTCACAAAGGAGGTTGTTTTTGGTCGCGTTGGTTAGTTTCTTTGCTTGTTTGCGCGTTAGTTAGCAGAATAATTCAAAAAGTTTTTTTTTTTTTTTTTTTTTTTACCAAAGGTGTGCCTTAGCCTAACTAAAATTCCATTAAATTTTGGAGACGATCCGGATATTATTTATCCGTTTCTTAGGAGGATAACGGAAAAAAAAAGTTATTAACATGGGTATGGTTCAAATTTATTATTCGCACTCGTTTTCTATACAATCTAATCTTTAGAAAACGACACAAGTGCTGGTCCGGAAAAGCGGTCAGCCCCGGGACCCGCTCAGTAGCCAATGGTAGTTGTGTTGGACGAGAGATGCCAGTGCAACCTTAGACAACACCGCCTACGCATTTCGCCGACTCCACTTCTCTGTGTCGTGCTACGGACTAGAGTGATAGGGCGGCGCCTCGAGGAAGTGAGAAGTGCAAATCCGAGGCGCAAAGAAACTAAAGCGCAAGTTACAAGCGATGGGAAGAGAGTGTGCAGGGAAGGCTGTTTGCTCCCTCTCCTCCTCCTCCCCCTCCCTCTCCCCCACGCGAGCAAACGGCAGATAAGACCACGAGTAGCGCTTCGACACGAGTTCTATGAACGGTGGTGATACGATGCGTGCTGGTGACCGCAGCGTCCCCACGCGAGAAGGTGAAGAGGCGTGAGAAGGGACTCGCACTCTGGGACCTTCTAGAACCTGACACAAAGACAAGGTTTGGCACCAATGGCGACATCCTCCTGGGGGATATTCATGACAACACGAAAGAGGACCAAGGCGTCAAAGTATGCTTATTGAGGTAATTATAGGATCGTTTGGTGACCTCTGGCAACCTCAGGTTAATTCTTCACTCCTGAATATTTATATATAAATATAATATATATTATATATATATAATATATATATATATATATATATATATTGTATTTCTGTTGTGTCTAACTGCGGGCTTTTTAGTTACATGTATTTTACACTTTTTCAAATTATCGCTAAATTCTGAAATGGCTTGTTCGATTCTTTTTTCAAAAGGACTGTGACGTTTAGTCTTATTTTACTTCGCGTGGTTATTATTATAATTTTATTATTATTGTGATTATTATTATATTATTAATGTTATTTCATTATTTTTAATGTTTTATCATTATTATTAATTTTTATTATTATTATCATTATATTATTATTTTTTTATTATTATTATATTATTATTATTTTATTATTATTAATATTATTATTATTATTATTATTATTATTATTATTATTATTATTATTATTATTATTATTATTATTAATGTAAATACTTGCGTTCACGTAGTGTTTGTCATCCAGATCCATTTCCAATTCTATGTAGGTCTATAAAACTTGATTAAAATAAAATGCACCGCATCATTTCACTCCGATGTTGTTGAAATTGTCAATATAATATTGATATGAATATACGCACTGTCAATAAATAATTAAGATGATCGAGTAAGAATCAAAGGAATTGTTTAGGAGAGACCGGAACGCGAGCCGGATGCGGGAATTTCCCCGTAACTGGGAATGGGAATCAGGTCGATGATGGGAATAAGAATGATCGTTGCGACGTGATTGCAATGGCAGGGATGGCGAGAACAATGATGATAATCACGATGATGATAGGGGAATGATAACCAATTGATAGTAACAGTAACATTACTGATGCTGATAATAATCATATTACTAGTACTATTAACCTAATATTATAGTATTAGGAATACTGACAATAATAATGATGACGATGAGTGTAATGAAGACAATGCTGATGAAAATGCTGTTGTAATATTGTCATAATAATGATACAGATAACAATAGTGATAGTGATAATGATATTGGTGATAACGGCAGGAATAATGATAATATCAAGAATAACATTAAATGTGATGATGATCATGATAACAATGATGGTTATGGTGACAGTAGATATGATAATGATATGACAATTATAATGATAAGTATATGATGAAGTGAAAGATGATTATAACAATAAGAGCAACAGCAGATACGACGATCATAGAAATATCAGACAACGATAAAAATGACAACAGCAGCAACAACACCCATAAAAATAACAGAAACAACATCCATGCATACTCGTTGGTGATTTATTTAGTTGTTTGAATGTATATGATAGTTTCATACTCTATGATTGTTACAATTCATTTTCGCAATGTTTTTGGAGACGCATGTAAAACACAGTTTTTTTTTTTTTTTTTTTTTTTTTTAATCAGGACTTCCTTTGTTTGTGGCCGCTGATGTCGAAATATTTATTTGCTTCTCGGAGAAAATGTTCAGAATTTATAATAAATTATTCGTAGTTGATTACAGAGGTAATTGAACAAGAAAACAGTTTTTTGCAATAGCCGAGAGAGCGTTGATGGAAAGATATGAATATATTGGGGTCTAGTACGAAGCCTTGTGGAACACCGAGCGACACGAGCCGCTTTTCCCCTCTTTCTGTGTTTTTGAAGATAAGTGACCTTTGAACTTTTGGTTATCAAATGTTCAAATGATTAAGAATTTCATGGCTGACAGTGCCAAAAGTTGTAGATAGATCACATACTGTGAGTAGAGCTATTTGATTATTGTCATGTTATAAATTCCATTCGTGATTTTAGACATTGCTTTACTGAATAGCTTACTTCTGAAGTCACGTTACGTTTTAGATATACTATTCATGGCCTCCAGGAGTGTATAAACTACTCTGCTATTTTTTCTCGAGAACTTAAGTCAGTACAGTGAGTAGAGTGACGTTAATGACTTATTTTGTCGACATGACGAGGTGTGAGGATAAGAGTTATAATGCCATGCTTCCGGTGTGGTGAGGAGTACAATGCCAGACATATTCGTCATGTTATAGATGCAATAACGGATGAACTTTCCTGAAGTCAAAGGGTAATGTGCGTTCCTAGATGACGAGCCATCTACTTATAGACCATTGTCTCTACTTCGCTGCTGTTTCGGACTGTAATCCTCACAGGTTTTATCTCCAGAATAAGCCCATTTAGCGACGGGGATTGGGTGTACAGGGCTCGGTGTGGAGGGACAGGCACCCAGACGTACACATGGAAACATAACAGGGGGAAAAAAAACTGCGACTTAGGCGGCTTGCGTCTTATTTTTTCTCCCTTGTTGCGGATTCGAACTCAGTCGCAATCGCGGATTTGAGCCTGGCGACCGGACTCAATCGGCGACCGGACTCAATCGGCGACCGGACTCAATCGGCGACCGGACTCAATCGGCGACCGGACTCATCGGCGCCCGGACTCAATCGGCGACCGGACTCAATCGGCGACCGACTCAATCGGCGCCCGGACTCAATCGGCGACCGGACTCAATCGGCGACCGGACCCAATCGGCGACCGGACTCAATCGGCGACCGGACTCAATCGGCGACCGGACTCAATCGGCGACCGACCAATCGGCGACCGGACTCAATCGGCGACCGGACTCAATCGGCGACCGGACTCAATCGGCGACCGGACTCAATCGGCGACCGGACTCAATCGGCGACCGGACTCAGTCGGCGACGGACTCAATCGGCGACCGGACTCAGTCCGGCGACCGGACTCAATCGGCGACCGGACTCAATCGGCGCCCGGATCAGTCGGCGACCGGACTCAATCGGCGACCGGACTCAATCGGCGACCGGACTCAGTCGGCGACCGGACTCAATCGGCGACCGGACTCAATCGGCGACCGGACCAATCGGCGACCGGACTCAATCGGCGACCGGACTCAATCGGCGACCGGACTCAATCGGCGACCGGACCCAATCGGCGACCGGACTCAATCGGCGACCGACCCAATCGGCGACCGAACCAATCGGCGACCGGACTCAATCGGCGACCGGACTCAATCGGCGACCGGACCCAATCGGCGACCGGACTCAATCGGCGACGGACTCAATCGGCGACCGGACTCAATCGGCGACCGGACTCAATCGGCGACCGGACTCAATCGGCGACCGACTCAATCGGCGACCGGACTCAGTCGGCGACCGACTCAATCGGCGACCGGACTCAATCGGCGACCGACTCAATCGGCGACCGGACCAATCGGCGACCGAACTCAATCGGCGACCGGACCATCGGCGACCGGACTCAATCGGCGACCGACTCAATCGGCGACCGGACTCAATCGGCGCCCAGACTCAATCGGCGACCGGACTCAATCGGCGACCGGACTCAATCGGCGCCGGACTCAATCGGCGACCGGACCCAATCGGCGACCGAACTCAATCGGCGACCGGACTCAATCGGCGACCGAACTCAATCGGCGACCGGACCAATCGGCGACCGGACTCAATCGGCGCCCAGACTCAATCGGCGACCGGACTCAATCGGCGACCGACTCAATCGGCGACCGACCCAATCGGCGACCGAACTCATCGGCGACCGGACTCAATCGGCGACCGGACTCAATCGGCGCCCAGACTCAATCGGCGACCGGACTCAATCGGCGACCGGACTCAGTCGCGACCGACTCAATCGGCGACCGGACCCAATCGGCGACCGGACTCAATCGGCGACCGGACCCAATCGGCGACCGAACTCAATCGGCGACCGGACTCAATCGGCGCCCCGGACCAATCGCGCGCCCGGATTCAATCGGCGACCGGACTCAATCGGCGACCGGACCCAATCGGCGACCGACTCAATCGCGACCGGACCAATCGGCGACCGGAACCCAATCGGCGCCCGGACTCCAAATCGGCGCCGACCAATCGGCGCCCGGACTCATCGGCGCCGGACTCAATCGGCGACCGGACTCAATCGGCGCCGGACTCAATCGGCGACCGACTCATCGGCGACCGGACTCAATCGGCGACCGGACTCAATCGGCGACCGGACTCAATCGGCGCCCGGACTCAATCGGCGACCGGACTCAATCGGCGACCGGACTCAATCGGCGACCGAACTCAATCGGCGACCGGACTCAATCGGCGACCGGACTCAATCGGCGACCGGACTCAGTCGGCGACCGGACTCAATCGGCGACCGGACTCAATCGGCGACCGACTCAATCGGCGACCGGACCCAATCGGCGACCGGACCCAATCGGCGCCCGGACTCAATCGGCGACCGGACTCAGTCGGCGACCGGACTCAATCGGCGACCGGACTCAATCGGCGACCGGACTCAATCGGCGACCGGACCCAATCGGCGACCGGACCCAATCGGCGCCCGGACTCAATCGGCGACCGGACCCAATCGGCGACCGGACTCAATCGGCGACCGGACCCAATCGGCGACCGAACTCAATCGGCGACCGGACTCAATCGCGCGCCGGACCCAATCGGCGCCCGGATTCAATCGGCGACCGGACTCAATCGGCGACCGGACTCAATCGGCGACCGGACCAATCGGCGACCGGACTCAATCGGCGACCGGACTCAATCGGCGACCGGACCCAATCGGCGACCGAACTCAATCGGCGACCGGACTCAATCGGCGACCGGACCCAATCGGCGACCGGACTCAATCGGCGACCGGACTCAATCGGCGACGCGGACTCAATCGGCGACCGGACTCAATCGGCGACCGGACCCAATCGGCGACCGAACTCAATCGGCGACCGGACTCAATCGGCGACCGGACCCAATCGGCGACCGGACTCAATCGGCGACCGGACCCAATCGGCGACCGAACTCAATCGGCGACCGGACTCAATCGGCGACCGGACTCAATCGGCGACCGGACCCAATCGGCGACCGGACTCAATCGCGCGACCGGACTCAATCGGCGACCGGACTCAGTCGGCGACCGGACTCAATCGGCGACCGGACTCAATCGGCGACCGGACCCAATCGGCGACCGAACCCAATCGGCGACCGGACTCAATCGGCGACCGGACTCAATCGGCGACCGGACTCAGTCGGCGACCGGACTCAGTCGGCGACCGGACTCAATCGGCGACCGGACTCAATCGGCGACCGGACTCAATCGGCGACCGGACTCAATCGGCGACCGGACCCAATCGGCGACCGAACTCAATCGGCGACCGGACTCAATCGGCGACCGGACCCAATCGGCGACCGGACCCAATCGGCGACCGGACTCAATCGGCGACCGGACTCAGTCGGCGACCGGACTCAATCGGCGACCGGACTCAATCGGCGACCGGACTCAATCGGCGACCGGACTCAATCGGCGACCGGACTCAATCGGCGACCGGACTCAATCGGCGCCCGGACTCAATCGGCGACCGGACTCAATCGGCGACCGGACCCAATCGGCGACCGAACTCAATCGGCGACCGGACTCAATCGGCGACCGGACCCAATCGGCGACCGACCCAATCGGCGACCGGACTCAATCGGCGACCGGACTCAGTCGGCGACCGGACTCAATCGGCGACCGGACTCAATCGGCGACCGGACTCAATCGGCGACCGGACTCAATCGGCGAAAGGACTCAATCGGCGCCCGGACTCAATCGGCGACCGGACTCAGTCGGCGCCCGGACTCAGTCGGCGACCGGACTCAATCGGCGACCGGACTCAATCGGCGACCGGACTCAATCGGCGACCGGACTCAATCGGCGACCGGACCCAATCGGCGACCGGACTCAATCGGCGACCGGACTCAATCGGCGACCGGACTCAATCGGCGACCGGACTCAATCGGCGACCGGACTCAATCGGCGACCGGACTCAATCGGCGACCGGACTCAATCGGCGACCGGACTCAATCGGCGACCGGACCCAATCGGCGACCGGACCCAATCGGCGACCGGACTCAATCGGCGCCCAGACTCAATCGGCGACCGGACTCAATCGGCGACCGGACTCAATCGGCGACCGGACTCAGTCGGCGACCGGACTCAATCGGCGACCGGACTCAATCGGCGACCGACTCAATCGGCGACCGGACTCAATCGGCGAAAGGACTCAATCGGCGACCGGACTCAATCGCGCCCGGACTCAATCGGCGACCGGACTCAGTCGGCGCCCGACTCAGTCGGCGACCGGACTCAATCGGCGACCGGACTCAATCGGCGACCGGACTCAATCGGCGACCGGACTCAATCGGCGAAAGGACTCAATCGGCGCCCGGACTCAATCGGCGACCGGACTCAGTCGGCGCCCGGACTCAGTCGGCGACCGGACTCAATCGGCGACCGGACTCAATCGGCGACCGGACTCAATCGGCGACCGGACTCAATCGGCGACCGGACTCAATCGGCGACCGGACTCAATCGGCGACCGGACTCAATCGGCGCCCGGACTCAGTCGGCGACCGGACTCAATCGGCGCCCGGACTCAGTCCGACTCAATCGGCGACCGGACTCAATCGGCGACCGGACTCAATCGGCGACCGGACTCAATCGGCGACCGGACTCAATCGGCGACCGGACTCAATCGGCGACCGGACTCAGTCGGCGCCCGGACTCAGTCGGCGACCGGACTCAATCGGCGACCGGACTCAATCGGCGACCGACTCAATCGGCGACCGGACTCAGTCGGCGACCGGACTCAATCGGCGACCGGACTCAATCGGCGACCGGACTCAATCGGCGACCGGACTCAATCGGCGACCGGACTCAATCGGCGCCCGGACTCAATCGGCGACCGGACTCAATCGGCCACGGTGACGGAATTCTCTTCGGAGAGGTCCATGTTTAACATACTTTATGTGAGATTTATTTTAAAACATTTTTTGGGGGATAGTTGCACGATTCTGCTGTAACATGAGAATGTCTATTTGATTGCAACAGTAACGAAATAGTATACATACTATTTCTTAGAATCACCGAGGTGTACCCTGCAACTGTATTATGTAAAGCAGTAGGGTAGATCTTATTAGATTCAAATATATCATTTCCATATATGCAGAATCTAGCACCTTATCGTACATGCCATCTATAGACAGGAAAATCTTGAATGTTAGTGAAACTACTTAGTGTTTCTATGTAAAGCAAGGTTTTAGTAATGTAGAGGATTTCAACATCTCTCTTCTTTAAAAATAATAATAATAATAATAATAATAATAAGTAAATCACTTAAATTTCTTCAAAGTAACGTCTCTTCATTTTTTTTTTTTTTTTTTTTTTTTTTTTTTGCTGTATAGTGGCATCGAATATTTTGATCACACTTGGATTTTCCTTTTTAGGAATAACTTCACCTCGTTGGAAAAGACGTGTGAATCCGTCAATCATCCAAGATTGACATCTTTGCTGTGTAGAGTTCTTGCGAAATTTGATTAACGTGTCATGTTTTTTTTTGCTTTGCTATTTTACAGTTGATATCTTCTCACACATATAAGCATAGCAAGTTCAGTATCTTCTCCGGGTATCTGCATGACAGCGTTTTCTAGTGGTTTTCGGTTATACTTTCCTGTCTTGTTTTCGCATTCTGTTCTCTAGAAGTCGCGGAAAAAAAGAAACCTCATTTTGATTATTACTATTATTATCATTATCATTAACAACGTTGTTATTATCATTTTTATTATTGTTATTCTTTTATTATAGTTATCAATGTTGCCATCATTAATATCATTATTATCTTTATTATCATCATCATCATCATCATTATCAACATCATCCTCATTGTTATATTGTTAAAAGAAAAAAAATTAACAACAATGATAAGTGATATTAATGATCATGACAGAATACTAGTGATAATGACAAATGAAGAAATGGCAACGGTAATAATGATAATAAAAGATGTAATGATAATGATACCACAAACCAGAACAAAAAACAACAATACTAAGACTAATAAAAACACACAACACACCATAATGATACGAATAGTGAAAATATCACAATAGTGGCAATTATGGCGAATCCCGAAAAAAAAAACCTGTTCATCCCATCCCAATCAATATCACAAATGGTTCTTAACTACAGTACGAACACAGTCAGTTAATAATGGATTCTCTCTTGCAGATTCATCAGTTCCGAGCCGTGCAACAATGCGGGTATTCTCCATATTGCACCTTTTCTTCCTGTTACTCGCAGTGGTAAGAAGCGACAATAAGATATATAGCACCTTTTCTTCCTGTTACTCGCAGTGGTAAGAAGCGACAATAAAAATATATAGCACCTTTTCTTCCTGTTACTCGCAATGGTAAGAAGCGACAATAAAAATATATAGCACCTTTTCTTCCTGTTACTCGCAGTGGTAAGAAGCGACAATAAAATATATAGCACCTTTTCTTCCTGTTACTCGCAGTGGTAAGAAGCGACAAAAAAATATATAGCAATCTTTCTTCCTGTTACTCGCAGTGGTTAAGAAGCGACAATAAAATATATAGCACCTTTTCTTCCTGTTACTCGCAGTGGTAAGAAGCGACAATAAAATATATAGCACCTTTCCTTCCTGTTACTCGCAGTGGTAAGAAGCGACAATAAAATATATAGCACCTTTTCTTCCTGTTACTCGCAGTGGTAAGAAGCGACAATAAAATATATAGCACCTTTTCTTCCTGTTACTCGCAGTGGTAAGAAGCGACAATAAAATATATAGCATCTTTCTTCCTGTTACTCGCAGTGGTAAGAAGCGACAATAAAATATATAGTATCTTTTCTTCCTGTTACTCGCAGTGGTAAGAAGCGACAATAAAATATATAGCACCTTTTCTTCCTGTTACTCGCAGTGGTAAGAAGCGACAATAAAATATATAGCACCTTTTCTTCCTGTTACTCGCAGTGGTAAGAAGCGAAATAAAATAGCACCTTTTTTTCCTGTTACTCGCAGTGGTAAGAAGCGACAATAAAATATATAGCACCTTTTCTTCCTGTTACTCGCAGTGGTAAGAAGCGACAATAAAATATATAGCTTTTTTTCCTGTTACTCGCAGTGGTAATAAGCGACAATAAAATATATAGCACCTTTTCTTCCTGTTAC